TTATACTACGTGATAAACTGAACTTCCGGGGACCTTAGGGACGATCCAAGGGGGTCCAACGATAAGGGAAAAAGATATCACCTACAAACGTTTTTTTTCCGACCTTTGGCTGACCTCCCCCCACCGTGGGAAATTGCCTTTTTGGGCCTGATCGCCGACGGAAATTTCCGCCGGCACAACAAAAGCATGGATAGCAGACGGAGGGACCAATAAACAATTCTTCAAATTAATTGGGTGGTATACTCACTAGTTTCTACTACGCTTCGAAGCAGAGCAAGTGGGACATACCCATGTCTTGGTATAACGCTGGCCTTTGAGGCAGCCCCGGTGATACTACAATGGTGGTAAGTTCAAGAATGCAGACGACACAAATGCACTTACCCAATTTGTTTCGCAGGTATCGCCGGCCTTGGCGCAGCAAACAGCGCGCTCAGTATCTGCACGTTCGGCTGTCGCAAGCACGAGACTGGGTCTCATAAGCGCGGTGTTTGCGTCCGGATCGCGTCGTTGGCGCAAGAACTAAGGGAGGGTCCCAGTCCACTTGTTTGTTCTTGAGATTCCATCCCATCTCCGAATCGAAAATTGCACGACATGAGTCACGTGACAAAGTCTTTGCCAAACACCAACAATGTTTTAACATCAAATAGGGGAAGTCAGAGTGGAAAGAAACACGAACGAAACAGCATCGAAACAGAACTCGAAACTGAGTCCAGTTTCGAGTTAGTTTCGACGGTAACTCTGACCGACCCCAAAAGTCGGGCGAAACAGAGAATCGATTCTGTCATCGATTCTGAGCCATCAAACCGAGTTTCGAATCTGTTTCGAAATCGATTCTGCCGAGTTCCTCCTCTGGAGGAGGAACAGCGAAACAACTTCGAAACTCGAAACAGCGAAACAGTCTCGAAACAGGCCTGAGTTTCGAAATTGTTTCGTCGTCAGTTTCGGGTCAGTTTCGAGCTGTTTCGCTCACTCTGACTTCCCCTAATGTCGTGGAAGAAGCCAAAATCAGCTTCATTCATCATATACTTACGTGCAGCACCTATTCTGACTCCTGAGGAGACACAGAACAGCGCAGAACACCATTTTAAGACAAAAAACTTTTGTGCCACAAAAGTTTTTTTTTGGGGGGCTGCCCCCCCCCACCCTGTGTCGGAAATTCTTATCGTTGGACCCCCTTGGGACGATCTTTTGAGCCGCAGGTGAGTATTCATGTCTGTCAGCGTCTGTGGTGTTCACCCTCGGCGGAGTTCTGACCCAGAAACCCTGTTTTCCTCCACGGGCGACTATTCCGGCGGCATTTGGGATACGAGGTACGTTGTTTTTTCTCCGTTACTTATCCGTTCTCTCACCAGATATGTGATGCTGTTAGTTCGTCTTCATCACGGTTTCAGAGGTACGCTGTTTTTTCTCCGTTATCCGTTCTCTCACCAGATATACGATGCTGTTACTGCCGTTTGCTTATCTATATAAGATCGGTAGTGGCGCAAGCGCCGGTCCCCTACTCTATTTGGTATATTATATCAGATAAAGCAATGCACCGGGAACCTGCATCAATCGGCGGATTTGGGGTGGAACCCGGATCATGTCGCAGCTTGGCTGTGTCTTACCTATGGCACTGTTTTTAAATTTTTAAAATTTGACTTTGCATAATAGTTGATTATCTATACTACGTCGGTCCTAGCGGACCGCACAATCCACATGACCACATGATCAAAGCAAGTGGGACGTCGGGCTGTCACCGCCGATTTGTTCGGCAGCCTTCGGGCTGCAGTTTTGGGGCCGCGTGCCGCGGAGGTACCTTTTGGGGCGCCTTCCTGTTCCGAGTGGTCCGGAACTCATCAGAAACCTGTCCACGGTAAAGCTCATTCTTTAATGCAAATTTTGGGAGCTCTGACTGCTGGAGTTTGGAAAGGCAGCCTTCACAAACATTTATTGTCCCATCAAAATCAATTCCTTGTTGACTGAGCATCAGCCCTGGATTGCTTATGAACTCAAAGTCAGCCTGTAGTCGACTGTCATAACAACGGAGAATCTCAAAATTTTCAAGTGTTAGTTTTGACTCTTCAGAGTTTGGATTCACAGTTGTGGTCACGAAATCTGTGGAATTCTTTTTCCGAGAACATACAGCACACACTGCACTATAGGACCATTGTGAGCCATGAAAATAATTTTGCATACACTTCAAGTTTGTTTGTGGATTCGGCACAATGGGCCAATTGGCCTCAATGGATGCCCAAAATTCTTGGTTAGCCTGGAATGGATCCAGTAGATGCTTTGCTTGTCTCTGTTGGCGTCGTTTATCTGCAATTTGATTTCTATCACCCAACAAGTGCAGGAGAAGGTCTGCACCATATTCTTGCTCTAAAAACACTATTATCAAGTCTTTTTCTGTTTGGTGATCATCTGCTATGTAATGTGGATCAAAACACCGAATATATGAGATAACATCCACAGAAGGATGACTGAGATTTCGAATGCGCTCACAAATACTCTGAATCATGAAGTCCGAAAGGTTTCGAAATGAATAGGATGTAAGTGCTTTGGACGGTTGACGTGAAGGATGTAGTTTTTTCAGCACAGTTTTCAAAATTTTCTTATTATAATATTCACTTGCACCAGTAGGGATTAAAAGTTCATTCTCAAGGGGAATAGGGATGTCAGAGGAAACACAAGGTGGCATCATTATACATCTTGTTACTCTTTCTGTCAGAGAATTTGAAAAAAACTGGAACACAGAGAGTTCTGTTTTGTCTATATCAAGTGAGGTATATTGTACACGGAGAGTTGCAAAATGAGTCAGGATAGTGTTAATCAGTAATTCCTTAGACATTCTTTGTACTTGATAGAGGGATACGGTCTCTCTCACTACCGCTGCATGCAATTCTTTCACATTCAACAATGTCAGAGAAGCTCTCATATGATTTGTTGAGAAATCGAACCATACTGGTTTTATGAGTGGTACACTGACGAGCGAGCGTAGACAGTGTTACATCTTGTGATGAGGGTGACAGGTGGCGGTGCACCTTTTTTTTCACGACGACGACCACCGACAGCTGGCGCCCGAGTTCTACCTCCTCAAACATTCGGGATTTCTTTCGTGCTCTCGTATCATATGCCTGCATTCACAAAGCCGATCTCTGGCCTCACCAAGCCACAGCTAATCATAGCCGCCGATACCTTCAATCTCGACTCCACGGGGAATGTCAATAACCTCCGCGCTTGAGTTAAGGCCCTCATCGTGGCCAACAAGGCCGCCATAATGGCCAACCCAGACCACGCCGTCAAGTTGAGGCTCTTTTTCAAACCTTGAGGTTGCCAAGTTCTCCACTGCCAAGTGCACAAGGCTTGCAGTTCTGTGACTTTCGGATTCATTGAAAACCCCTGGTTTAAACAGGATAGAATGGCTTCTGTGTAGTGCTCGACAGCCTGCTCTGTGACTGCAAGTTTCGGTCCCCCTGGGCCATCTGGCCATCAGCATTATCTGAGTCAAGCTTCTCGACTCGGGATCCGAGTATGGAGTCCACTTGCACTTGACATTTTCCCGTCCGGTAGAGTGCAGCACTTGGTCCGCCAGGGAGAAAGGAGCGCAGGCAGCATGGTGCAATGCCGCACACTGGGCCCGGGTGTCACTAGCTGTTACCAGTGATGCACCTAGGGGCCCTATTTTGAGGTGCCAGACCAGATAGGGCCTATTTAGCCCTATTGCCCTATATATAGGGCAAAAAATAGGGCCCTATTTTCCCAAAAAGGAAATTATGTAGAGCGGGCAAATTATCTTCCAGAGTGCAGCTAGAGTGGTGTCAAGACACCAGCATCATCATTGAGAGTGTTCTAGTTCAGTTCCAGGCGACAGTGCTGCATCAGCGCTTCAATTCGGTGGCGGCATCTGACGCATCACTCCCATCAACAGTCTGCCGCTTCGGAGCTTCAATACAGGTGACTGGTGTGTATCATGTCACGTTGGCGCAGAGGTTGCGCAGAAGTGCGCGACATGCGTGGATGATGCGGAAGATGCAAAAGTCGGTGATGTGTCAAAAGATGTGACTGATCCCGCGATTTGATAAGATAAGATAAGGATATAGGCCCTACCTAGGGCCATATCGGCGGCGGGCCCTTGGATAGGGCCCTACAATAGGGCTTGTAGGGCCATATTTCAGTAGGGCCCTATTGCCCATAGGTACATCACTGGCTGTTACGTGTTCGATACTTCCGCTGCAACCCAGAGCTCCTTGTTCGAATCAAGGTGCTGCCCTGGTAATGTCATGCACAATCCTTATTTTATGCCCACTTCTGTCTGAGTGGCCTCGCCTATGGATTTTGGACTCGAGTGCCCAGCGCTCGGACACATGCATCTGCGACACCGCAGGCCATGGGCGTGTTCGATGTCAATTTGTCGACGGCATGTGCGCTGCACTGCTCATCAAGATCATGCTTACTTCAAGCTGCTGGTGATGCTTCGGCCACGACCACAGTGCGCAAGGGAGGCAGCCTGGGGTAATCACACTGTGTTGGGTAAACTCGGTTGCTTACTCGATCCAGATGTCCTCGTTCGACTCGAGGTAGAGCTACATATTAGAATTGTCAGCATTTTTTAAAATTTCTTGTCAAGCGAGAGCCATTCCTTTTACTCACTATATACCAGCGAGGCTTGAGAGTGTTGAATACTAGGGCTCATTTAGGAATAACACTGGCAGACCTTGAACCGTGGGAATTAGCCCACGAAGGGCGTAATGTACACACGTCGCCTGACGAAACAGGTTTTCGGTCTCGAACATGGATTTATTGCAGCGCAAACACGCGGAATATGTGTAACAATGTGCTGTTGCTCGAATGGAAGGCATACCCCGTGAGCAACGAGCGCGGACAATGGTTGGGAAACAGGAATACACACAAAATGTTTTGCTTGCGACCCTACCCAGATCCAACTCAACAGCATCTAGCGCCGCCCAATTTAACAGCTTATGTTAGTACCTGTAGCCATGACGAACGACCCCAAGCAAGGCAGCATGGGGTAATGTCTTATGTTGGGCAGTATCAGAGCCGAGCAATACAGCACATTGAACCCACAGGCCCTCGTTCGAATCGAGGTGCTGCCTTAGTCGGCCACCTACCACCGTTTTACTCCGAGTTCAAGTCCTTTGTCAAGCACCGCCCTCGCCGTATGATAACCTATTGGACTCAACCTGCTGGCGACGGTGTCAGGCTCCCGGTTTTGCACATGTGCAAGTCGACACCGCCCACACGTCGCCTTGTTGCTTAAACCAGTACTACTTCGACCGAACCCCAGCAAGGCCTGAGCGTGTCACACTGGGTGCTACTAGCAATGATGAGCTAAGCAGTGGTCCAAAGGTCCTCGGAGGTTCGAGTCGAGGGGCTGCCTATGACCAGATTTTGACATCAATTTTTATTCTGCTTCAACTTGAAGATGAGGCTCTTTTTTAAAAAACTTGACGTCGCAAAGTTCTCCACTGGACAGCTTGTGTTCTGTGACAAGTTTCTGTCCCCCTGGGCCATCTGGCCATCAGCATTGTCTCAGTCAAGCTTCGCGACTCCGAGTCCGCCGCACTCCACTGGCACTTACATAACACTTTCCCGTCCGGTAGAGTTCGGATCGAGGTGCTTCCCTGTACCATCACTGAAGTCATAACCATTTTGTACTTCTTTTTATCCACCACGCCGAGTGCTCAGACGCTCGGGCGCATTGAAGCCGCAGCTGCCACAATCCCGGGCCATGTAATGCATGTAGCGGCGCACCGCCTGGACTTCAAGATCAAAGTTCTTACGCATGGTACTGGGTGTGGTACAGCTGCAACAACGGTGCCAAAGCAAGGCAAGGCAACCTGGGATAATGGCGCACACTAAGCACTGTTAATTAGTGGTGCCCGGGTTTAATATGTTGAGTAAGTAGTACTCCTCCTCGTCCGATCAGAGGTGCTGCCCTGGGCCCGAACTTTAGAACTAATTTTCTTGCCAACCGCTCCCTTTACTCACCAAGTACTGGCGATCCTCAGGCTGCCAGTATTGAATACCACGACTCCTTTGGGAAGTTAACAGGAACATCACTTGGAGTGCATATGCTCTTCTCATCCATCCTGTCGGATACAAGAATCTACAACCTGAAATTTGCAATTGCAATAAGCCTCCAAATTAATTTCAGTGGCGTCTGCGTATAGGTCAACTTCATGCTCCCTTCCTTCAAACCGCTAGCGTGTGGAACTTTCAACCGTGATGACAGTGTGCAAGCAAGGCTGCATGGCGCAATGCCGCTTGCTGGGTAGTATAGAAGCCTGAGTATGGGATGTAACTAGCAACGGCGTGGGATGCCCAGAGATTACATATGGTTTGAATCGAGTGCTGCCTTGTGCAACTTTGATAGGACTCATTTATAAGTTTCAATGTCCGTGGGGTCCAGGTCGTCTAAACACCGCAGCACAGTCTCAACCAAGCTTGGCAACTCCTGTTCAAGCCAGTACTGCTGTGCTTCAACACTTCATTGACGAGCCCAAGCAAGGCAGCATGGCATACCGCCGCACACTGAGCACATCAAGCAGTTCCAGGCGGAGAGTCCACGCTCGAATCGAGATGCTGCCAGAGCCTTCTGCGCCCCGGTGATGGTCGCTATTTTTACTCCTCTTTATGAGCACGTCTCCCAAGATGGCCCCACCCATTCAGATTCTTTGCTGACGAGCCCAAGCAGGGCAGCATGGCGTACCACCGCAGTGACACTGTGCATATCAAGCAATGCCAGGTCCAGAGTCCTCGTTCGAACCGAGATGCTGCCTTGAAGAAACTCGGTCTTCGGTATTTTTATTCCTCTTTATGAACACGTCTCTCAAGATGGCCTCACCCATTCGGATACTCAGATGCTCGGAGCTGCGGACATTATTATGGCACAACCCCGGGCCATCATGATGAAGGTCTATGTACAAAGTACTACAAACACATGTCACGAGTAGATGTGTCTGTCTATAACCGACCAATAAAATGTTTATGACTGTGCCAGTGTCCGCGCCGCCAAAATCTTCCTCATGGAACGGCCGGTACGTGCGCATGCATGTAATACCACATATGGGGCACTACCGATATTATGCCGGCAATTTACAGTTCGGACGAGAACCCAACCCAGAAGTTGTTGGGATTTCAGCGCTTCAGCTCCAAACCGAACATGGAGTTATTGCGGAAGATGTGTAACAATCTTCATCGCTGTTGCTCGAATGGAAGGCATACGCTGACACACCCCATGAGCGACAAGCATGGTTGGGAACAGGAGGACACACAAAACGGACATAAAGGATTTGCTTGCCACCCTACCCAAATCCAACTTATCGGCGTCTAGCGCCGCCCAATTTCAACCTCCTTGAGGCCGTCAGTTTATGGGAGGACGACGACAACCCAACCAAGGCAGCATGGGGTAATATCTTACGCTGGGTAGTACTGAAGCCGAGCAATTCAGCGCAGTGAACCCAGAGGTCCTCGTTCAAATTGAGGTGCCGCCTTGTAATACGCGATGGAAGCCTTTTTATTCTGCTTTGAGTGCAAGCTCTTTTGTCGAACACCGCTCTCACTGTCGTTCCCGAGACGCAGCGCTTCGACTCAGCCTGCTGGCGACGGTGACAGGCTCCCGGATTTGCACATGTGCAAGTCAACACCGCCCACGCGTCGCCCGGTTGCTTAAACCAGTACTTGGTGTATCAGCACTTGGACCATTGCTCGCAGAGCCCCTAAGAAGGCAGCGTGGTGTACCCTGCACACTGGGTTCCACTAGCAATGATCTGCTAAGCATCGGTCCAAAAGTCCTCGTTCAAGCCGAGGTGCTGCCTATGAAGATGTGGGCACCATTTCATTATCCATCAAGTTGAGGCTCTTTTTCAAACCTTGAAGTTGACAAGTTCTCCGCTGCCCATTGACAGTGCACAAGGCTTGCAGTTCTTTGACTTTCAGATTCAAAACTCCTTGTTTAAACAGGAGGAATCACTTCTATGTAGCCTGCTCTGTGACTGGTCCAATAACAGAGGCGCGCGCGATGTTCTCGACGAAGGTAATGGCCGCCTTTAGCATAAAGAGCAATGACTTGTCAAACTAGGATCGCAACCATACCTTGTCCGAGAGCTGGGGCTGTATACAAATGCTCACGCGGATAGCTTCAGAGGATCTTGGGTCCTTATACCTCTCTGTTTCCTGACTACCAATCCTCGTTGGTACTATTTCAACTATTGTTCCGTATATTTCATATTTCTATTACCATGGTTACTTAGCATGTCGTTGGTACCGGACGACTATACTAATCTGTTCTTTAGTTGCGAACCCCCAGTGTCGTTTTCCCACAATCCAGGGCTCGGCACCGTAACCGTATACGGCTGTAATTATGGTGCGGGTATGGGGCTAGCCCATAGGCTTTGAGCGGCATGATCCACGGTACGGCTGGGACCCGTATCGATACGGCCGTATACGGCTTATACGGCTTGTCAAATCAAGCCTTGGCAGACGGTATCTGGAATTTTTGGCGAGTCGGGTCGGCGTCGGGGCGTCGGGGGACGGTGTATGGGCGTCGGACAGCGGCGTCGGGGGCTACATTCGGACATCGGGCATCGGACCGGGCGTCGAGCGTTGGGACGGCGACAGCGCTCTGCCGCATCCTAAGGTTCGGCCATCTCGGAGCTTGACGTGCATCACGTGTATACAAAGTAGTACGCCAGAGGCCCTCAGTGCTGTCCTGCCAGAGGTATCGAGGTCAATTTCCAGCACCGCCCTCTCCTTCGTCACTGAAATTTGCTCGCGTACGACAGCCAAAGTAAGGCAGCCTACCGTCGCACACTGGGTGCGAATGATCAACTAAGCACTGCACTCGTTCGAGTCGAGGTGTTGCTTATACTGAGAGAGGAACAGTTTTATTCTGCAAGTTGAAGTTCTTTTCAAACCTTGGCTTGTCCAGTACACTGCACCGGCTTGCAGTTCTGTAAATTGTACTAGGATATCATAATTCTAGTTACTAGTGCAATCTTCTCCTTGACAGTCAACTTGAAGTTTCAGCCTCTGCAGCATTGTCTCGGCTAAGGTAGAGTGCCAAACTTGGCCCCCCGAAGTAGAGGGGAAAGCAAGCAGCATGGTGCAACGACACACACTGGGAGTTGATTCGCGAATATGTGGTCACATCGCAACCCAGAGCTCCTCGTTCGAATCGAGGTGCTGCCCTGTGCTTGTCACTCATTTTTATGTCCATTTCTGTCAAGCTGGCCCCGCCTCTTAGCACGGAAGTCGTTGCGATTTGTGATCGGAACGTCTATATTACTCTTGGCTACGTTTGTCCCTGTATATGTACCACAAGACTTATTGATGTTTCAAAAGAGTCGTTTGTTTGAATCGTAGCCAAAAAAAAAAGAAGTCGGAAGAATTCATTTTCCGCTACTAGTAGTCAGAGTCCCCTTTCTCGTCGTCCGAGTCTTCCATTTTACCACCGTCCGACGCCCAGTCCTCCAATCTGGCGTCGTAGTCCGCGTCCGCGTCCTCAGTCCATTGTATGAAAATGGGCTTTCGTCCGATCCAGCGCGCGAATGCGGCGTACTGTACAATTTCGATCAATTCGTAAGCCATGTGACATTTTTTCGAAAAAAAAATTGCGAAAAAAACCGGACAAATCGAGAAAAAATTATTGCAAGGGTTTTCAGAAATCGAGTGTGACCTGTGACATACGAATTGAATGAAATACTACAGTATTCGTCCTCCACCTCGGTGGTGATAGCGCACTTAGACAGCTGCGTGACGAGGCGGAGCTGCGTCATCCGGTCGCCGCCCTTGCGCGAAAAGCTTGCGAAAAGCGGTCGTGGATGCGGTAGAAGGCGTACAGCGCCTCTGCGACTTTGCGTCCGGGGTCAGTACGCCGCAGCGAAAGAAGCAGCAAGGGGGGCGCACTCGTCGATGCGGCAGTCGAGCTGCTGCCAGAGGAGTGTTGTCAGATAAAGAGGCGCAGCGTGGCGTCCTGTGTGTCGGCGGGTCACGGGTGCGCGCGCTTCGGGAGCGGCATTCACGGGCGTGAGGATGGGCTCGACCGGCAGTCCCGCGTCCGCCAGTGCTTTGCGGACCAGATCATTTGCGAAGG